ATGCTTTAGGCAGAATGTTCAATGATCCAGGAGGTATCAAAAGAAGATGGAAGGAATATACTGAGTCATTGTATAGAAAGGAATTGGCAGATACAGAAGAATTTAATGAAATAACATTTGAGCAGGAGCCTGTGGTGATGAAGGCAGAAGTTCAAGCTGTTTCTGTAAGTAAAAATTGCACTCAACAACAGATATCTGGAGGGAAGGTCAGCAAAATGGCAGCTGTGGTTATTTTTATGGTGTAAGATTACTGGATATTTAAAGGGTTTTTTGTTTGTTTGCTATTTTTTTTTAAGTCTCTGTGTGCATGTATTGTTGTGGAATTTTTTCCAAAAAAATTCAAATCCCAAAATGGCTTCTTAAATTTTTAGCAAATAAATAATGATGGGTAAATAACTGCTCCATTTAAAAAAAGAAGAAACATTATCAAAACCTTTTAAATAATTTTTCAAGGTAACCCACTTAGAATATTTTAACAAAGACAAACTGAAATGACAATTTTAACTTCACTGTATAAAGCCCATTCCCCATGATCACAAACATTTACAGAGAATTTCAAAATAATTACCTTGGAAACCACTTGGCGTGTTCCACCCATGGATCATCTCCGGATTCCCAACACCTCAGGCCACCGTCACAGCAGAAGCATTTGACATCATCACTATGACCTAAAAGTAATTTTTGACAAAAACGTATGCATGCTTAGACCTTAATGCTAAAATTCACCATAAAAAACAACAACACACACAACCCACAACATGCTGAAATGGTTTTGCTATTATTAAACGAATTTTCTCACCCATGTAATAAAAGCCAGCGCTTGCCAGCTCCTCGGGATGGACCGGAACACTCGGCGGCCAGCTGGAGAAGGTTCTAAATCGAGCTGCCTGTGTCTGCATGCTCAGATTGGAAACCGTGTATCTCAAAGTTTCTTGAAGCTGATTTCCTAAAAACGGACAGCTGGGAAAGTGTCTCAGGTGTTCTGCCATTGCATTGTCCTTCCGCTCCCAGTTGCTTAATTTCCCACCACAAGCAAAGCAAGCCACTCTGTCTCCAGGTCCTATGTAGTAAAAGCCTGCTTTTGCCAGATCTGCTGGAGACAGGAAGGTCAATGGCCACATATGGAATGTAAGTAATCGGGCCTTTTCTGTGTACATTGCACAGTTGTAGGGCTTTCTCCTCAAGGCAGAAAAAGGTGAGTTTGCACTGGAGTTTACAGGACTAGATGGAAAGCTTGAATAAGAGCCGCTGAAATAGCCACTGTTTTCCATACTTGGTGGCAATGAGTGTGTGGAGTTTGCTACTGAAGAAGAAAGAGTGGACAGAGAGGTAGAACCCAGACTGGTCACTGAAAGGAGATTCTGAATAAAGCTACAGCTAGGATACAGCTTTTTATGCTTTTCTATAGCATTGTCTCCTTGTTTCCAGTTGTCCAGCATCAGACCGCAGCAGAAGCATTTGACCTTGTCATTGATACCAGTGTAATAAAACCCAGCACGGGCAAGACTCCTTTCTGAGATGGGGACTCCAGCGGGGAACGTCGAAAACGTGGATATCCGGTACAGTTCACATGAAAAGTCATATTTTAATTCAGATGTGCTTGTGCTTTTCATCAGATTTGACAGGAGAATGCTGTTTTCTATGTTCATAGTGAAATGGATGGGGAGGAAAAGGGATTAGCCTTTCTCTGGGGAGGTAGTTTTGTGCATACTTTTTGGTTTTATTATTTCTAAAATGAATGCCTCAAATAGAAAACCTTTCATTTGTTCCCTTTTGTTAATTTAGGGCTTCAGCATGGTGGGAGTCTACATCCCTAAAGGATAAGTAAGGTGATTTATTCTTTTTCTGGCACAACTGACCCTTTGGATACTCTTTCTGCATATGCAAATACATGTAAACAGTACACTGCACAGTGACTTACATGTAAATGCACACTCTTTGCAGAAATGGAGGGTGTCAGCAGGACGGGTCACCAGGATGTCAGTGTCAGCCATCCTTACACATCACCTCCAGATCACTAGAATGTATCTATGGCATTCCACCAGCCTAAAGACATAGTGTCTGAATCACTTAGCTACCTTCTTTTCATGATGGAAAGCCATACTCTGTAATTGTTCTAAAGAAAAAAAAATCAAATTATGTTTATGTTGCTTTTTTTTTTAAAAAGTAATTTCTGTAGCTGGAGGTATAAAGCTAAAAGAATATATTATCATATTTCACCATTTCTAAGACAGGTTTGGATATTCATCTTAGGGAGAGACACTTCATAATACTGGTATACCTAACATATTTTAATTAGCAGCATGTTTTTATTTTCAAGAGGTACATAAAATATGAGGTATTTTACAAGAGATGGCATCTTAGATTCAGTGAAATATGGTATATCACAAATATTTCTCTACTTACTTTCTAGCTCCTCAATTTCACAGGGAAAACAAAACCATTTGTTTCCTTCCAAATAAACACACTGAGCAGTAACAGTGCTGGCTGATACATCTTAAAACCTGGTTTTGAGTATTTATTTTCTTAAATGTTATAAAATTTGGTTTTAAGATTTCATAGAGAATAGCTACTTCCTCATGGATAATCAAGAATATAATTCCTTAGACAGACATACTGATGGTATTAACTTCTGGCTAACTGAAATTATTTTAAGTAATGTATTTATTATTGCCTTTGTGTAAATTTTGTTTATGAATAAGTTTATTCATTTTCAGAAAATTTAACCATCCCATCCAGGAGCTGCCATGTTCATTTTTATCATTCATTCAGACATCATTTGAACAAGCTAAATTTTAGACTTATATTCAATAGCCTTAGAGGTTTCTTCACCAATAACCATGTTTAACTTTCCATTTTTTCCTGAATTTATTATATCTATCAAAAAGTTTTGTTCTTAATATTTCTTTGTCATTGTAAAAGTCTATCACTGTTACAAAAGTCTCATTTGCATATTTGTTTAATTTAGCAGAGGATTGAATATTCATTCTTTGTTCTAAGTATCTATCATTCATTTTAAAATTTTTACCAGACACAGGTATTTTTCCCTATTTCTCACAGAAGTCAATTGAAGGACACCTAGTGAAGAGGTTTTTTCAACAATATGCTCCAGTTATAATCACCTCTCCTTTGCTTCCCAATCAAATTCACAATCTAATTAATTAATTATAGTATTGCCTCACACAAGTAAGTAATTGTTTGGATATAAAAAACTCCAGTAACTACTTAATATTTTATTCATGCACAAAACTACCTCCCGGAGAACAGGCTGTCCCTTTTAAGTGTTTTAGGCCTCCATTCTGAGATACTGTGATTTATAGAAGAAACAAATAAACAAATAACCTGAAGGTTGAACAATTTGCTTCGTTTATAAGACCTGTTAAAAAAAAAAGATGCGTTTAAAGTCAAATAATTTATTTTATAATATAATGATCACTTTTTTTTTCTCACATTTTCTCCAAAATAGATCCATTCATATTTACTGATAATGTTTTAAAGGTACTGTTGTGGATGAATCATCCCAGCTAAAGGTCAGAGGTCCCAAACTGGGGGCCAGTGGGATATTATGTATGGATGCACAGAAATGAACCACAGTATTTTATAGGTGGATTATGGTGGGGTATTTTTAACTTACTATTTTGAAATTAGGGAGCTCTAGTGGCTTAGTGGTAAGGAGTTGTGATGGCAACCCAAATGAACATGGTTCGAATCAACCAGCTGCTCCACAGGAGAAAGATGGGCAGTCTCCTGTCATGTGATTTAGTGCCTCTAAAAACCCACTAAAGGGTCAACTCAGTCAGTTCCAATTTCATGGTACCCTAGCAACATTTTGAAATTATATTTAGAAATGTAGCAAAAATAATGAGTCCTAAATAGACAAAACAATAATGATACAACATTCCAAATTCCCATTTCC